TCTCTCTCTCTCTCTGCTGGAGGGGGTCTCTCTCTCTCTCTCTCTCTGCTGGAGGGGGTCTCTCTCTCTCTCTCTCTCTCTCTGCTGGAGGGGGTCTCTCTCTCTCTCTCTGCTGGTGTCTCTCTCTCTCTCTCTCTGCTGGAGGGGGTCTCTCTCTCTCTCTCTCTCACACACACACGGAGACTGGGAAGCGCTGCGGACCCCAGAACCCTGTCCTCCCCTCCGCTGAGGCTGCTCTGCAACCCCCTACCTGGAGGCCTTCTGCATTGGGAAGGACATCATCACTCCCAAAGCCACCAGAGAGTCCCCTAATGTCCCTGGGCCGCACCCACTCTTCCAGGGGGTCGGGGGAAGGCGTCTGACCCTGCGCTAGGGCAGCAAGGGCCGGGGAGGGCAGGCCCACATACATGCAGAACGACCAGCACCGGCGACCGCACGGCCGGGGAGCCACAGAGCGTCAGGACGAACCGCACGGTGCTCCAGACCCGGAGGCAGATGAAGGTGAGCGGGATGAGCATCAGCTTCTTGTCGGCCACGGAGGCCTGGTGGCGTGGCCGGTGAGCCTCGGAGAGGATGGGCCGGTACTCGGACAGCGCCTCGTGCTGTGCAGGGCGCGGGGAACAGGTGTGAGCGAGGCGGGCGGCCCCGCCACCCTCAGTCCGCTGCGTGCCGCGCACCTCCCCGCGGGGGTCGGAGACACGCTGACGGCTCTCGCGTCAGGAGCACCGCGCCGCACCCCGGCGCCCGAGCCTCGTGCGCACGTCCCCACCTCTGCTAACGCGCCGGCACCCCAGCAGGTGCCCGGGCCAGAAACCCCCTCCTGTTGCTGCCGCCCCACGTCCCTTCCGTGGGCAAGTCCTGCGGGCTCCCCCTTCAAAAGAGATCCAGAATCTGGATGCTCCCCCCAGCGCCACGGCCACCAGCCCGGCCCCAGCGCCACCGCCACTCCTCCGGGCAGTTACAACTCTCTCACCCATCTCCCTCCACCACCCTCGCCACCCAAACTCCTCCCCACCGCAGTCCTATTCTTGGCCCAGAAGCAGCACGGTTCCTTGAAAACCCAAGTCAGGTTCAGTTCTACCTGAAGGTCTCGGATTCCAGTCTAGCTCTGACCTCATGCTTACTGCTTTCACCTGATTTACTCCAGTCCCACAGGCCTCCCTAAGTCCCCAAACATATTCCCCAGGCACACCCTACCGCAGGGCCTTTGCACAAGCCGTTCCCTCTGGAGTGTTGTTTCCCATCTGCCCAGAGGCTCACTCCCTCACCCTCTTCACGCCTTTGCTCAATGTCGGCCCCTGGAGGAGGCCTACCCTGACAGCCCCTTTTCAAGTGCGTAGGCGTTTCCCAGGTACTCCTGTCCCCAGGTTCAGCTCTTTATTTTTGCCTGGTTTTTTGTAGCTCTTACCTTCCTCCTTCCTAGATGTCATTCAGCCTTATTTATCAGGTCTATTACTTCTTATCACCCTGCCCTCCGCCCCCCCCCCAGAATGCAAGCTCCCCCAGAGCAAAGACCGAGGAAGGAGGGGCTCCATCCAAAGCTGGGGCAGAAAGAAAAGGTGAGGAGGCACAGGCTTTGGGCTTCCCTACTCCTGGGAACACCCTTCAGTGTGAGGAAGAGGGTAGCTCCATTTCCAGATCACAACCGAATTTGTTAAAATAGATGCAGGGGCGCCCGGGTGGCTCAGTTGGTTGGGTGCCTGCCTTCGGCTCAGGTCATGATCCCCGGGTCCTGGGATCGGGCCCTGCATCGTGCTCCCTGCTCAGCGGGGAGCCTGCTTCTCTTTCTCCTCCCTGCTCTTGCTCTCTCTGTCTCTCTCTCAAATAAATAAAATGTTAAAAAATAGATGTAACTACTCACAACAAAGATTTGTTTCTGAGCGTGGTCCTGTATCCGGGACACTGAAAGCCCAGGTGACGGGAAAAGCCACACACCCTGGCATCTCTGAGCACCCAGGCTGCTGCACCTCACCTGCTCAGAGCACCTGCTTCCTCCCTTCCTCCCCTGGGGCTTAGAGCAGCCTGGCAGGGGTGGGGTGGGGGCAGGGGAGGAGCAGGGCAGCTGTCTTCTTTGGAAAGTTCGCTCCAGTTCACTTATTTTTCTTTTTTTAAGATTTTATTTTTGGGGCGCCTGGGTGCTTCGGTCAGCTAAGCATCTGCCTTCGGCTCTGGTCATGGTCCCAGGGTCCTGGGATCGAGCCCCGCGTCGCGCTCCCTGCTCCGTGGGAAGCCTGCTTCTCCCTCTCCCACTCCCCCTGCTTATGTTCCCTCTCTCGCTGTGTCTCTCTCTGTCAAAATAAATAAATAAAATCTTTAAAAAATATATTTTATTTTTATTTATTTTGACAGAGAGAGAGTGTGCATGAGCAGCGGAGGGGAGGAGCAGAGGGGAAGGGAGAGAGAAGCTGAAGTAGACTCTGTGCTCAGCACTGAGGCTGACTCGGGGCTTGATCCCACAATCCCCTCTTTTGCCCCCGGAGATCATGACCTGAGCAGAAACCAAGAGTCCAACACTTAACCAACTGAGCCTCCCAGGCCACACACCCCCACCCCCCCGACCCCCGGCTGACAGGGAACAACCCCTATACCACCCTGCCCACTATTCTTCCTGTTTTCTGGAAAACACTAGCAGAGTCGTTAGAGAAGACCAGTTCTCCCATGGGGGGCTGGCCTCCCAGGCACGGCCCCAGGTTCCTGGCCAAAGGCAAGGAAGAAGAGAGGCACACAGAGGGGCAGGCTGGGGGTCTTCCTCAAAGAGTCCAGAAACTTCCCAGGGAGAAAAAGGAGCCAAGAAGGGGTGCCCCCGGCCCAGGCAGGACACCAGCAAGAAGACGGATTTCAGGCCAATCAGTAAACCCCACGGGATCAGAAGAGGGTGGCAGGCAGGTGGGGAGGCAGTGCAGTCTTAGTGAAAAGAGAACCCGAAGTCTAGACTCACAAGCCACAGCGGGGAGCACCCACAGCTGCGGGGAGCACCCGACAAACTCGGAAACGGCTGCCATGTCACAGTACACCCCAAAAGACCAAAGATGGGGGACACACACCCCTGCAGTTTCAGCCCCTGAGAAATGGGGCAAAGAGCCCCAAACAGCACAGCCGCAGAGCCCCTGGGCCTGGGCTCGGACGCCCCCGCAGCCCCCCACCGTAGCCCCCCAGCGGCGCGGCGCCTCGGCCTGCAGAGCCCGTAGGGCAGGACAAGGAAGGATGTCCTCAGAGGAAAACCTTTCTTGCCTGGAATGTCCAGCCAGCCCAGCTCTCGCTCTCCGAGCTCCCAAGACCCTGAAGAGTCTCCATGTGTGACACACTCTCCACGACCACCGGTAACGTGATGAGGCATCCGTGTCACCGAGGACGAAAGCCCACGCGTCTCCCAGGGGCCTCGCAGTTCCATTACCCAGACGCGGCTTCCTGGCGCCTGCACTCCCCTCGACATGGAGCAACCCTGGGGGCCTGCCAGGAGGGGGCAGTAGAGGCCTGTGCCCAGATCCCAGGCTGGGCACTCGCCTCCTGGACTCCACACACTGTGGCTTGGGCCTCTGGGGCTGGGCGAGTCCGGGGAGCCCCTTAGCCTCTGCCAGCTTCTATTTCCTTGTCCACAACGGAGGACTGATGGGACCCACTCCGTCCAGGGCCGCATAATTAGCAAACCCGGACGCCCAGGCTGCCAGGGTGCAGTAGCCACACAAGAGCTGTGGTTGGGGGGCCTGGGGAGGGGCACCCGCAGGTACCTACCGCCCTGTTTATGTGCTTCCTGATAAGGCAGTAGATCACGGGCAGCATGACGTAGGCCAGCATCTCCCAGAGCTTCCCGGTCAGCAGCATCCACAGGATGCGGTCCTCCGCCTCCAGGTCAATCCAGCACCAGCCGACTGACACGTCCGAGGCATCATAGCCAATCTTCTTCAGGGCGACAGCTGCCACCGTGATGGCCAGCGGGACCCCCCAGCTGAGGAACAACAGGCAAACGAGACAGTCAAGGTCAGGCCCTGCTCCCAGCGAGGCCGGAAGGGGCAAAGCCAGGGACGCTCGGCGGACAGAACGGTGCTCCCGAACCGTGGACCACACAGCAGCCCCGCACAAAGCGAGGCAGGAGTGCTCAACTCCCCCCACCCGGGCCCGCTCCTCCCCCACCCCGCCAGGCCCACCCTAATGTCGCAGAGCACAGGGAATGTCCCCGCCTCCTGCCTGGCCCGACGCACCCCCCAGGCCCTCAGAGGCCAGGTCCTAATTCAGAATTGCTGGGCTCCCATCAAAAGGAATGAGATCTTGCCATTTGCAACGACGTGGATGGAACTGGAGGGTGTTATGCTGAGTGAAATAAGTCAATCAGAGAAAGACAGGTATCATGTGACCTCACTGATATGAGGAATTCTTCATCTCAGGAAACAAACTGAGGGTTGCTGGAGTGGTTGGGGGTGGGAGGGAGGGGGTGGCTGGGTGACGGACATTGGGGAGGGTATGTGCTATGGTGAGCGCTGTGAATTGTGCAAGACTGCTGAATCACAGATCTGTACTTCTGAAACAAATAATGCAATATATGTTTAAGAAAGAAGAAAAAGAAGAAGATAGCAGGAGGGGAAGAGTGAAGGGGGGTAAATCGGAGGGGGAGACGAACCATGAGAGACGATGGACTCTGAGAAACAAACTGAGGGTTCTAGAGGGGAGGGGGGTGGGGGGATGGGTTAGCCTGGTGATGGGAATTAAGGAGGGCACGTTCTGCGTGGAGCACTGGGTGTCATACACGAACAATGAATCATGGAACACTACATCAAAAACTAATGATGTAATATATGGTGATTAACATAACAATAAAAAATTAAAAAAGAAAAAGAACTGCTGGACTCCTTGCAGATGGGCGCGAGAGCACTGTGGCATGGGGAGGGCAGCCCCTTCCTGCCCCCAGAGTGGCCTGCATGCCACGTGCCCGCACCTTGCCCACACAGCCCCCTTGGCCGCATGGGTCTCAGGGTGCACACACTGGCAGCAGGATCTAGAAGGGCAACCAGGGGCTTGGGTAGACACCTCTCTCTGGACCTGAGGCCTCTCTGCTCTATGGGAAGGGGGTATTCCCTGCAGAGGTCAAAGGCGGGCCTCTGAAGCATCAGGCCTGGGGCAGGGGCCCCCTCTTAGGGCAGTGCCAGGCAGACTTTTTGAGAGCTCCCCCCGATGGCAACACGGCCAGATGAGGGCCAAGCCCCAAGGGGCTTCCTGGGATCCCCGCACCAGTCTGCTTGCGAAGCATTTTACACGGGCCAGGGGGACACACAGAGACTTCGTGGTGGCACCGTGAGGTGGCTCCGAGCTTGGCCTGCCCGGCAAGGAGCAGGGTCCAAGTTGACCCCCACTCGGCCTCCACACGCCAGTGTTTTTCTCCACACAGTGGGGACTGGAACGGCGCCTAGAGCAGGGTAGGTCATTATGAGAATAAACCGAGTGGAGTATGCCTGGCACACAGGACTGGGTAAGTGTGTCAGTGGGTCTGACCGCTGTCATGAGTCGTGTCCAACATCCCAGGATTCCGGCCCATAGGGCAGGTGCCAGTAAAGTGCGAGGCCCATGCGATCTCTGCCCCTGGGAGAGCGCACACAGGCCTGTGGCCCAGGTAAGTCGCTGGAGAATGGAGCCGTGTACAAACAGGACCCTGTCATCAGTTAAACGCTCAGCTCAGAAATCAGTTATATGTTGAGAGCTCTGTGTAAGCAACAGTAGCTTTTTTTTTTAAGTTTATTTTTACTTATTTACTTAAGGAATCTCTACGCCCAACAACTCACAACCCCGAGATCAAGAGTCGCATGCCCTTCTGACTGAGCCAGCCAGGAGCAGCTCTTTTCGAGAGAAAGTTCTGGAACAATGATGAGACCATAGCTGCATGTTAGTCTTGCCCAAACGAGAAGTGCTGTGTTCAGTCAGGTTCTCCAAATACCGCAGGGCTGTGGAGGACGGAAGGGAGAAAGCCAGCTCCCCGGGCCTGGGAAGGACTCTGTGTTGGGCGCTTTCAGAACGGAGGTGCCTGTTCAACCCACCCACTCTTCCCATACTGGCCTCTGGGTGCCCGGACAGGAGCATGAGCGCAGAGCCACCTGCACCCTCAGCATCGGAGGGAAGGGGAGGCGGGAAGCAGCCTGTCCTCCTTGAGGTCACAAAGGCACAGAAGGGACAAAAAACCCACAGGAGTTAAAGGGTTAAGAGAAAGGGACCAAGTTATCCTCAGGAGTCTGTCCATTCTAAATGCTTGTTCAATCGGTTACTCATTTGTGAAGCTGATATAGATGACTGTCAAACTGTTTTGTCATAATACAGGGTTACCACTTAAAAACTCATGCCGTCCTGGGATCTGGAGACAACATGTCAGTTATGAGCTCCGTGAGCGTAGGTGCACTACGGTTTCCAGCATCCAGAACAGCGCCTGGTGCCTAGTAGGGGCAAAACAAGGACCTGCTGATGAATGAATGAAGTTTGAGGCAAGTAATGAAACAACTTTCCCCCATTTACTCCTTAACTATTCACGGCAAGGACATCATTGTCATTGAAAAGGAAACTGCAATCCCGAAGTTAGTTCTGTTGTTGTTCATCACTTTATGGCCCACCGGAATAAGCCTGGTGTGTAGGGCACATCGCCCTACAGGGGGTTAGGCAGGAGCGGAGGGGTGCCCTCGGGACTGGAAGGACGCGTGCAGGACAGACATGCGGGAGGAAGGGGCACACTCACAGGCAGGGTGATTTCTCCTTCCCCAGCACCCTGACGGCCCTCGCAGGAGACCTGGGCCCAACCCGGAGACAGGTGTTCTATGACTTTAGGCTCGTCATAAGAAAGCTACAGAGTGATGCATTTCCTCTGTATGATTGGGGTGCACCTGGAGCTAAGTTTGTGTTGGGAAATAGCCGGAGAGAAGACCCAACAGGCAGAGGGCTTTCACGGGTTAAGAACGTGGGTTGATCAATCAGAGTCACTGTTTGAGTCTAAGCACAGATGGCCAGAAGTGGCAGGAGAGGTATTTAAGTGGGAGGTGGTAAGAAGAAGTAATATCAGGGAGGGGTGGGAATGGAGTGGGAGGGATCGAGAGTCTAACGACCCAGCGAAGCAGGCTCTACCGGACTCGTAATTCGTGGGCTTGGGCCATGCTGTGCTGGTTATGTTTAACAGCTGGCTCTGCACACAAAAGTATTTGTACGTGTGTGCGTGTGCTTGCACACATACATTTATTATTACTTTAACTGATATGAAAGATGTGAGGCACACAACCTGCAAGTAATAACACAACACACTATGACCCTCGTGACGAATTCCATATAGCCAGTTGAGCCCCACAGAATGTGTTGGTTGATTTTTGCCAACACGCTATGGTTGCAGTTGGCAAATGAAAGTAGTTTCAGGACATGAAGTTGGTTGTGTTTTCGTTTTCCTTCACACGTTAAGAAGAATGTGAAAAAAGGAAGACCTAAGGGGCACGACAAATGGTGACCAGGGAGCGACTTCCTTGTGTGAGCAAATACTAATTTCCCAGCCCTGGAAGAGTATTCCTTCTATTTTTTTTTTTTCCTGCTCTATGATACCACCTCTTCTCACCCCCTTAAGTACCCGGCTTCCTGCCTACCCCAGTGTGGGTACCACCTTTGCTGAAGTTCACACAAGGAGCACTTTTAAGTATAATCTTTCCTATTGACACTTCCTCCATCACCTTCTTAAGTCTAGATAAAGGGTCCAGCAGACTACGGCCCTCAGGTCAAATCTGGCTGGAGGTCTGCTTTTCTGCTTTTTTAAATAAAGTTTTATTGCAACACAGCCTCGTTTACACTCACCCCTCTACATATTGTTTAGACCTGCTTTCAGGCTACAGGGGCAATAGTTGTAACTGAGATCAGATGGCCTATGAAGCTAAAAAACCTACCATCTGTGTAGGGTTTGTTTGGGGGAAAGTCTGCTGACCTCTTCTCTACACAATCAACAAAACAACAAACCAAGCCCTGATCTGTAGTGTCTGCCATTTTCCACGGAGCAAACATTCCCACTATAACTAATTTCAAGCCACCAACACATGTGGTTGGAGACAGATGTGCAGTATTTCTGACAGTACTTCCATCGGGCAGATAAAATAGTTGTAAATAACCCCAAGTACACAGATAATAGTAAAATAATTAAGATGTAATTTTTAGTGGGGCGCCTGTGTGGCTCAGTCGGTTAAGCATCTGACTTCAGCTCAGATCATGATCTCGGGGTCTTGGGATCAAGCCCGGTGTCGGGGGGGGGGGTCCACACTCAGTGGGGAGCCTTGCTTGTTCTTCTCCCTCTGCCTCTGCCCTCTGCTCATGCTCTCGCGCTCTCTCTAAGAAATAAAATCTTTTAAAAAAAAAAAGATGTAGGGGTGCCTGGGTGGCTCAGTCGTTAAGCGTCTACCTTCGGCTCAGGTCATGATCCCAGGGTCCTGGGATCGAGCCCCACATCGGGCTCCCTGCTCAATGGGAAGCCTGCTTCTCCCTCTCCCACTCCCCCTGCTTGTGTTCCCTCTCTCGCTGTGTCTCTCTCTGTCAAAGAAATAAATAAAATCTTTAAAAAAATAAAAAATAAAAAAAGATGTAGTTTTAGTACTTTTATTACTTTTTCTTTTTTAAAGATTTTTATTTATTTATTTGACAGACAGAGAGCCAGAGAGAGAGCACAAGCAGGGGGAGTGGGAGAGGGAGAAGCAGGCTTCCCGCCGAGCAGGGAGACCAACAAGGGGCTCGATCCCAGGACCCTGGGATCATGCCCTGAGCCGAAGGCAGGCGCTTAAGGCAGACTGAGCCACCCAGGTGCCCCTTTATCACTCTTTTTAATACAACTTATTATAAATTTATATATATATATATAAGTTTATATAATTTAGTTTTTATTAATGATTGCCTTTAACAATCAGCTCACAAAATGCCCTAAAATTTAATAACTGGGTCTCCCCAGCTGGCTCCAGG